CTGACCAGTCCTTCCGGGGGTAATCGACAGATATCCCTTTGCAGTGTAGACGACGTCGAGTTAAGCCCAGGTCTTTTGCTGGCCTTGACGACCGAGGTTAAACCTTATTTCAAATCTAGCCAATCTGCTTCTTATAATGCGCTCATGAGATCAGAATACACATTCATTCTCCGCCATCCCCCTTCGGGCATCAACTGTACATTACGGATTAGCGTGTAAATCAATGTGGCGGTAACCAGGGTAACAGCAAACGAAAGCTCATGGCATTGTCCAGCTATACAGCACAGACAAATATGTGAAAAGTTTATACTCGTTTAAAGTAGATTTAGAAACTATCGGTAAATACTGAATAAGAATTATAGTCACTTAAGGTGATGAAGGACTGATAGTTGAATTTCCCACAGACATATGAGTAGGCCCCATGTTTACATTTACTTTCACATAGCCTTACCTTCCAACAGATATTCTCATCCAGACTCGACTACAGTTTTGATCTCGTCTAGGTCTCATCAACACCCACAGTTGCCTCCCTTTTGATTGCATTCATTTTTTGTTTGTACATTTGAAAGCGTTGTTTGGTTTGTGAAAATATCCCTATTTCACTGGTATTTATCAGTATATACGTGTAACTGTATGAACTCTGTCCCATCAGGTCGTTAAAGTGACGAAAGAAGTAAAAGTGGAATTTTGTACAATTAAATCATTAAATTTCACGTAGCCTTGTCTCCCATTTGTGAAACTCAATGGCATATCAATGTGTGAAAAATTCCGCCATCAAGCCTTGAATCATTTTTAACAATAAAATATGACCAAGTTCTTATTCACGAAGTGCTGAAAGTTTTGAAACATTCATATTATAAATATCAGTAACTTACTCGATTCTAATGACAAATACAAGTTTGCCTCACTGGCAGTCCTACTACAAATGCGATTTCGGATGAATTCCGACTAGCTTTGGAAGTCACGTCGATCTTTTGACCCACAAGCACTAATTGCTGTTTGGTATGGTAGCAACGTATTGCATTTTATGCATAGAACCCAGTCTTGACTCCCTTTGTGGGTTTTTATGAGGCTGAGTCAAGGCCAAATCAGCAATTTCATTGTGAGCCATTTCGTAATCACACTTAAAGATGCTAAAAATTGTATTAAAGAGCTACAATTATAATGCCTACAGGTATATCCTAATTAGGAGTAGGCGAAATCTAAATGTTTGTGATAAGAATATTGAAGGGAATGAGTTGACATTAGACACAAATCGATGTCCTAATGTCAATATTACTTACTTTTTTCGTGCCTTAATAACACTTTTCCGTTCCAGCCCCTTGTACAGTCCGCCTATATGGGGATCACTTGACTGCCGAGGTCGTGGAGACTGCTGTGTTGCTGGTCGACGGTTACTCGATCCCTCGGCAGTCTTGGAGCCTGAATATAGACCAACCGACTTGCATTGTATTCCAAATGCCAGAATTGCCTGGCGAATGTCAGTGCTGTGTCGAGCTGGACACCATGGCTTGGGGCAGGTTACGTTGTCCACAGGTTTTCGTGTTCAAGGAACCCGTAGCTGACAATTCCAGTGAGCTATTTTACGTATTGCCAATCGGAGAAAACTCTCTGCTATGTCTATGCAATTTATTAGTCTTTGAAGATGATTTTTTTTCATTGATCAAGCGAAATGTGTGAATTATAAACCGTATTTCTGATTCATGTGACATCAAGGAATTTCAGAAATCAGGGTAATACTATCTGTCAATTGTTAATTAAGATAAATAGGTACTAAAGTTTCCTTATATAAGATATATTCACCA